TTTCTGGAGTCTAGTATGAGAGTCTGAGGCTAGAAAATGGGCTGCACCTGTGGGCCCTGCATATAGATATACCTGGGGAACTATATAGATAACAACACAAAGATCTGAATGGTTCCCGGGGCTAATGCAACGGTGGATACCTGATAAGCATGCAAACCAAGTCCCGCTAGGTGCAATCAGAGTCCATGGGGTTGAGCCTTCGGCTCGCAGAGAGGTGTTGGTCAGGCAGTTGTCCTTGTATGGCGAAGCTTGGAGGTCGAGGTTTCCAAGGATGAAGCAGTTCCCTTGTCCTTGAAGATCTCCTAGGGTGAGCTTGCCGGCTGGGGCACAGTTGGCAAAGGTTTCTTCCCCAGGTGAGTCTGAGTCATTAAAAGTTTTGTTCATGGGGGCTAGAGTACCCGTGGCATTTGCCCCAATACCAACATAGTAGGGTGGTGCTGGATCTACACAGAGCCAGCAGTCTTCGGTGGTGTTAGGTTGAGAACTAATCTAACATGGTTAGAAACGAGCTGCTAAAGGAATTGAGGGGGTGTGGCATTGGCACCTGAGGAGGCCCAAAAGCTGGAGCTGGTGCCCTATTCTGGCTCTCTAGAGACTCTGTGGGTATTAATAAAGTACCAATGTCATATCCAGCGAGATATAGTCTCAACCCCCATGTTTTACCAGTGAGCCAGGCTGAGTTTCTTGAGATATGGGGTGCATCGGGCGCGCAACAGAGCAAATGGCAAGAGGTTTACCCAATTATCACCGGTTTCAATCTTAAGTTTGGTAAGAGTCTCCTTAAGAGTTCTATTCATTCTCTCTACCTCACCTGAGCTTTGGGGTCTATAGGCACAATGTAATTTCCAGCCTATTCTGAGAGCTTCTGCTATTAATTTGGAAATTTTGGCTATGAAAGCCGGCCCATTGTCTGACCCCAGTACTAAGGGCAGGCCAAATCTAGGAATGATCCCAGTTAGGAGATGTCTGGCAACTACGTTAGCAGTCTCGTGCCTTGTGGCAAAAGCCTCAGTCCATCCTGAGTAGGTGTCAACAAAAACTAGTAAGTACTTAAATCCAAATTTGCTGGTTAAGATCTCAGCAAAATCAAGTTCCCAATGCTCACCTGGTTCATGCCCTCTGATTCAGACCCCAAGTCCATGGGGTCTGGGAGGCCCTGGATTTACCTGTGCACAGGCAGAACATCGGGTAACCTCTGAAGTGGCTATAGTTTTGAGATCTGGAATATAGAAGTGTCCACTGACTAGAGAGATTAATTTTGATGTGCCTAGATGAGTACTGTAGTGGAGATCTCTAATGAGAGCAATTCCCAAGGCTTTGGGGAGAAGTAGTCTTCCATCGGGGAGCTGATGCCAGTTCCCCTTCTCTGTTGAACAATTTAACTTCTTTCCCAGGTTGAGCTCCTCTTCATTGTAGGATGGTGAGGAGGGCAATTCCCGAAGGGGAAGAGCAGGGAGTATTTCTATAGGTTTTACCTCAGTTAGGGCAATTTGTTTAGCAGTCCGGTCTGCTAGGTCATTTCCTTCTTTTGTCTGACTAGGCTTGGTTTCGTGCCCCCTGCAGTGAACAATGGCTACAGCCTTAGGTTGCCAGATGGCTGCTAAGAGATTGAGTATTTCTTCTCTATTTTTAATTTCTTTCCCAGCTGATGTGAGGAGCCCCCTTTCTCGGTATAGGGCTCCATGCACATGAGCAGTTGCAAAGGCATAGCGGCTGTCAGTGTAGATGTTGACCCTCTTGCCTTTTGCCAAGTTGAGTGCCTGTGTCAGGGCAATCAGTTCTGCTTTCTGTGCAGAAGTTCTGTGGGGCAAGGCCTGAGCCCAGATTACCTGTAAGTTGGTGACTACTGCTGCCCCGGCATACCGAGTTCCATCCTTGATGAAACTGCTGCCATCAGTATAGAGGTCATAGTCAGAGGTGGCTATTTTCTCGTCTTTGAGGTCCGGTCTGGTTCTCTCTATGGAGTCTAGTAACGAGTGGCAATCGTGGAGCAGTTCTCCTCGATTCCCGTCGGGGAGTAAGGTAGCCGGGTTGAGGGCAGTAGACTTGGAGAAGGTAACCTGTGGTGGGTTCAATAATAGTACCTGATATTGAGTGAGGCGAGTGTTGGAAATCCATCTGTCAGGAGGAGACCTGAGTAAGGCTTCAGTGGTGTGGCCTCTGATGGTTTGGAGGTCCTGGCCTAAGGTCAGCTTCTGCGCCTCCTTGACAAGGAGAGCGGTTGCAGCTATTGCTCTCATGCAGGACGGCCAGCCTGCAGCAACAGGGTCAAGCTGTTTGGAGAGATAAGCAATCGGGCATTTCCATGGTCCCAGAGTCTGGGTTAGGACTTCTTTTGCTATGCCTTTGCGTTCTGCAACAAAAAGCTGGAAAGGTTTGGTGGTATCTGGCAAGGCAAGGGCAGGGGCTGAGGCAAGCACCTGTTTAAGTCTTTCAAAAGCCTCTTCTTCCCTTTTAGTCCAAGTTAAATCAGGTTCCTTTCCCCCCGTACATGAATAGAGGGGTCTTGCAATTTCTGCAAACCCTAGAATCCACAGTCTGCAATATCCAACCACGCCTAGAAATTCTCGTACCTGCCTTTTGGTGGTTGGCCTTGGGATCCCAAGGATTGCTTGGATTCTTCCTGAGGATAAGGTGCATTTCCCTTCCTCTAAATGGTAACCCAAGTAGGTGGCTTTCTTGACACAGATTTGGGCTTTTCTCATGGATACCCGGTACCCAAGTTTGCCTAACTCAATGAGAAGGGCTCGAGTGGCAGCAAGGCATTCATCGGAGGTCCGGGCAGCTAGGAGTAGGTCATCTACATATTGGAGCAGGGTTACCTGTGGGTGGCTGTCTCGGAAGTTGAGGAGGTCCCGGCTCAGGGCTTCGTCAAAAATGGTGGGAGAGTTCTTGAAGCCCTGAGGGAGTCTGGTCCAGGTAAGCTGGCCTGAGAAACCCCCTTCGGGGTCTGTCCATTCAAAGGCAAAGATGGGTTGGCTCTTTGCAGCAAGCGGCAGGGTGAAGAAGGCATCTTTGAGGTCCAGGACTGAGTAGTAAACCTTGTCTGGAGGTAAAAGACTCAGGAGGGTATATGGGTTAGGCACAGTAGGGTGGATAGACTCAACCCTTTTGTTTACCTCCCGCAAATCCTGAACTGGCCTATAATCTTCCCTTCCTGGTTTCTTCACGGGCAACCATGGGGTGTTCCAGGGGGACTGACACAGAATTAAAATGCCTGCATCTCTCAGCCTCTTAATATGTTTGGCAATCCCTTCCTTGGCCTTTTGGGGGATTGGGTATTGTCTGACTTGAATGGGAGTAGCAGTGCTGGCCAATTGCACAATGATAGGGGGCTGGTGAGAGGCTAGCCCCGTGGGTTTGTTTCAGCTCAAACTTCAGGGATCTGTATGGCTAATTTAGTCAAGACATCCTGTGAGTTATGTTCCCCAGTGGGAGGTGACATTTCCTCTTGAAGGAGATATTCCTCAGAGAGGGGTACTGTAACCATGATAGTGGAAGGTTGTTGGTTCCCTAAGCTTAGAGTTGTGAGTTGCTTTCAGCTTTCGCAGCAGGTCTCTGCCAAGCAATGGGTAGGGGCAGTCGGGCATTACAAGGAAGGAGTGAGTGATAGTGCCCTTCCCGAGATCAGTGATTCTGGCTTTAGTCCATGGGTATGCTTTTGGCTTTCCTGTTGCCCCTATAATCGATGTCTTTTGGGAGGAGAGCTTTCCAGAGGCCTGCTGCAGGACCGAATAGGTGGCCCCCGTGTCGACAAGGAAGTCAGTTTGTTTTCCCTAACCCTGACCCCCCTAATCTTCTCCCTCCAACTTCAAAGCCTTCTAATTTCTGCAATTTCTTTCTGATGTCTGGGGTTGACTGTGAGACAAAGGCCATGTTGACCATCCGTCTATTCCCATCTGCATCCGGGTCTAAGGGGGTATAAGTTCTGTAGGCCTCTAATAATCTTTCTAAAAAGGCCGTGGGAGATTCGTCCTTCCCTTGCATAGTGGCTGCTACTTTTGCTAAATTGGTGGGTTTCTTAGCAGCGCCCCTTAGACCCCTGAGGAGGTTTCGGTGATAAGTGCGTAACCTCTGCATCCCCTCCCCAGTGTTTGGATCCCATTCTGGGGGTCGTTGAGGCAGTTCATCATCTAAGCCCTCGGGGCCAGCGTCATCCCCGACCACAGCCTTAATTGCCTCAGCGCGTATCCTCTCCCTCTCCTCTGAGGTGAACAAAGTTTGTAAAATCTGTTGACAATCATCCCAAGTGGGTTGGTGGGTCCGGAATACAGACTCCAATAAACTTATCAGAGCTTGTGGTTGCTCCGAGAAAGGGGGGTTTTGTTGTTTCCAATTATATAAATCGCTAGTTGAAAAAGGGACATAGATCATTCATGCCGGGCCCATAGAGCCGGGCGCAGCGGGCACCTCTCGTAATGGGAGCATTGGGACTGAGGTGTCCGGTTCCCAGGCCGGTTGATAAGGGGTGCCGTCCCATGTATGTGAGGGACTCAAAAGTCTGGCATTGTCAGCCGGGCCTGGGGCTCTTGCCTGAGGCTCGTCTGAGGGTGCCCTCGCCTTCCCTCCCAAGGCGTTTCCTGCATGAGGTGTTTCCTGCATAGGGTGGGGGCGTCATTACCTCTAGGAGCGATTCCTCAGGATCCCCTTGGGGGACTGGATATAACCTGGGTGCTTTCCCAGGGGATTCTGGTTGGCTCTCCTTGGTTGCCCCCGCGGTCGCTCCTTTGGGGCTGCAACCATGATGGTATGGTTTCCTACCTTAGCTTTCATTCCCTTTTGGGGCTCCTCCCTTCCGCATTTTGTTATATAGGGAGGCTTGTCTAATACTATGTCAATCCAGACATCTATATATACCCGTTGATCTGGGTGAGGGACCCTATAAACAACCGAACGCACGGCGAAGAGGAGGTTAGGGTCAAAACTCCCCTCCGAGGGCCATTCCACCCCAAAGGTTGGCCACTCTAGTTCACATAGCGTCCTCAGGAAGCCGGGGTCTGCTGGCTTCCCATAATTACAGGACCTTTTGAGAAAATCGGAAAAGTTAGAGAGCAGACATTCAAGGGGGGTCGGTTTCCTGGATGGTCCTTGGTCCTTGGCGTCTCTCCTGAAAGTGAAACAGTTAGAGCAGAAAGAGAGGCTGAACATACAAGAACACGAAATCAGAAGACAAACAAGAACAATCACTGAGACTAGTCTCACACCCTCACAGAACACACACACCTTCAAAGTGAAGCACCTAGGCTTCCAAAATCAGAAGTCAGCGTCCTGACTCTGATTAGAGGCAGACAGTGCGCGGTGTCCCGCCTGTACAGCCTCGCCAAATGCTCCGGAGCCAAAGACACAAAGAAACAAATGGATCGATCCACTTACCAAGACCACGTGGCACGAAAACCCTAAGCCGAATCTGGCCGCAGTCAGAAGATCAAATTTGTAAAGGCGAGGATGGAGGCGCCTCCCTTGTGCCTGAGGAGGTCGACCCCTCTCAGAGGGGGACCTCGAGGTGATCTCGCTGGGGCCTCCAAATGTTGTAACCCAGGAGATCGACCAAACTCAGACGCCGAGATGGGGTTTAACAAAAGGAGTTTATTGAGCTAAGTCCACAGGCACCTGCAGTATGTCCCACACACGAGTAACTGCGGCCTCGGAGAGCTAAAATGGCTCCTTTTTATAGGATTTTGTAAGGGGGGTAAGCAAGCATGTTACAGAAGCGGAATTTAGCAGTTAGTTAATTACCTGTTACTCAGTTTCCCAGACATCTCAAAGGTCAAGATGTTTCCAATAGATTATCCCTGGCGCCGACCCCAGGATTACTCAAGGGTTAGTTATTACCCCAGGGTTAGCGATTACTTAGGGATTAGTTAGTGAAGAATGTTCTTCAGTAAATGAGTAAACTGACAACCCCTTTGGTTGTCGTGAAGGCCTCTGGGAGTTTAGGTCAATGGCACTGAGTTATAACACTTGTAGGCAATTCTTCCCAAAACACATCCAATCTGATTTTAAATTCAGCTGATACCTTGAAGTAATTGCCCATTTCTTCACTGAAGAAGGAAAAACAATCCTAACGTGTAGTGCCTGCGGAGGCACCCTTCAAGTAAGGCTGCCATGACACGTTCATTGAGTGCCAGCTACAGGCTAAGCACTTACCTTCCGCAGCTCCTAAGCTCATGCCTCCCCAGCCCCCTACAGTTTCCATCCATCCACAGTAGAGACCCCCAGTGTGGCCCCGAGGCTCGGCAGTACCATGAATTATCCAAGAATGTTCAGTTAGGGTCAGTGGAATTTATGTATTATGACCAAAAACAGGGCTATACTTTAGAAAAGTTTGTATTAAAGAATCAAAACTTTTCTTGACTAGACAACTCAACTGACATATCCTATAAAATCTATGTATCAGTCAGGGTTCTCCAGAGAAATAGGACCAATAGGATATGTGTATATATAGAAAGATATATTTTAAGGCATTGGCTCACATGATTGTGGGTGCCAGCAAGTCCAGAATCTGCAGGGCAGGCTAGTGGCTGGGATGAACTGATGTTGCAGCTCTAGTCCCAAAGTATCTGGAGGCAGAATTCCCTCTTCCCCAGTAGACTTCAGTCTTTTGTCTCAAGACCTTCAACTGTTTGGATGAGGCCAATGCACATAATGGATAATAAACTGCCTTCTTCAAAGTCTACTGATTTAAATGCTAATCTCATCTAAAATACCTTCAGGGCAACATTTAGACTGGTGTCTGACCAAACAACTAGATACCCAGTCTAGTCACGTTGACACAAAATTAACCATCACAGCCTACTTATATGGAAAACTCCTTATCATTAAAATAGTTTATTTTTAAACCCTTAATGCTGAGCACTGAGAGAAGAGTACGCATTCTTTAAGATCTGCATTGACATTCCCTCTATATAAACCCCTTCCTGACCCTGGGCAGCATTAAGTTCTTTAAGACAACTAATAGAAGTTTATAAACCTGATGGCATTCATGGAATAATGATGGTTTTTAAAAACCACTTCATTGACAAAATTTCAATCTCATACAGAACTAGAGAGGCTAGTATGAAGAATCCCTCTGTATCCTATTTCAACAACTATCAACTTATTACCTAATTGTTTTATCTATCCTCTCTCCACAAACATACACACACACTTTCTTCTGGAGCTCAAAGCAAATTTCAGCCATTTCAGCTATAAATACTTTAATGTGCATCACTAACAGATAGTACTTGGAAAATGTAACCATAACACTATTGTCCCACCCAGCAAACTAACCATCTAATACACACTCCATGTTAGATTTTTCCCAGTTGTCTCAAAAACCTCTTTTTCCAGTTGCTGGCTGATACTCAGAGGAGTATTGACCTTCTGGAGAATCAAAGTACAGAAACAGAAGGGTTTTTCCCTTTGGACTTCTCAGCTGGGATGCCCCTCCTTGCCATCTCCACCCAACTCATCATTCTCCAAGTTGTGCCAGGGTTAAGGGGACACTTTTAGAGGGCTGGGGAGGCAGGTGTCCTAGAACTGTACAGGTAGAACTTGGGGAGGAATAATCCTGACACCATCTTCTCCTTCAAGAGAGTTCTTCTTCATCAGAAAAGCAGCCCTTTCTATGCCTGTATTCTATGTAGGGCCAAAAGGTGGGAGAGCACACCTTTACTGAAGAGCCAGCAACACCCACTGCAGATCTTTGGTGACTCTGCATGGGCCACCAAGTTCAAGTATCTTGGGACATACGTAGGATGAGCTCCCTGGAGAACTTGGGTTTTGAAGGGTGAGGGGGAGAGACACCCTTGGTTATTTCCTTGTGCAAATACGTAACTACCTTACTCTAAAACACTTAAAGGGCTCTGTATGTGTAAAATCATTCCTACACACATCATCAAACAGAAGACATGGGGAAACTCCCCAGAAACCTTGGGACTTTCCTTCAACAAGCCAAGGCAAAATGCAACAGAGCCCGTCAGACTTCCTTCCTAGAGTTCTGTGCACTCAGTAGAATCTGTGTTCAACCTACAGGTTCTAATAGAAATAAAACTATGTGCTAATTATAGTTTTAAATTAAAAAAGAATGTTGTTTAAATACAATCAGCCCTGCTGATCAAAATAGCTTTAACACTTTTAGTAAAGTCAATTTTCAGCATGTGTTTGCTCCCCCAGGTATGAAAAGTTGTGTTAACTCATAAGTTGACAAATATTTTAGGAATGCTTTCCCATTTTTATAAAATAAGTTCTTAATTCCATAGGAATAGACTCTGAAGGCAGTATCATTGGGTATTAAAATCAGAGGCTCTGGAATTACACTCCACACTGAAATTCTTAATAGTTCTTTGACCTTGGACAAACTAATTAGTCTCTTTGATGTCGTTCTCCCACCTACAAACTGAGGGCCAAAATATGTCCTTTATGGGGCTATAATGAAAGTGTAACAAGATAACATATCCCATTCAAAAAACATGTATTAAGTGTTGGGCACTCTTCGAGGAGTGGGTAATTAAATGGAGACCTGAATGATGAGGATTCAACCATGCAAACATTTTGGGGGAAAAGAGAGATCAGCAAATGCCACAGTTCAAGAGCCAGTACAAGTTTGGGATCTTAGAGGCAGAAAATGAAGGGAGAAAGTATATAAAACATGGACAATGAGGCAGGCAAGGCCTGAGTATGAGTCTGGTAGGACTTGAGAAGAAGTTTGGATTCATTCTAACAGCAGAAGGTTTTAAGCACAGTGTATGCTCCTTTGATTTAGACTGACATTTCAAAATGATCACGCTGTCCACGCATCAGAGAAATGGTTGCAAGGGTAAGAGGAGTGGGGGGCCATTTAGGGGACTGAGAATGGCCCAGCGGAGAGAGCACAGTGGCACAGACCAGGATCTGAGCCATGTCAGTAAGGAGAGGCAGTCAGCTCTGGAATACATGTAAAAAATAAATCTGCCAAGACTAGGTGGATAAATGTGAGGAGTAAAGGAAATGAAATGCGTGAAGAATGATTTCTGTGTCTGAGGTCCCAGAGAGTGGTTAAGATGGTGGTGCATTTACAGAAACAGAAAAGACTTGGGAGAAGCAGACGTGAGGAGGTAGAAAAGCAAGAGTTTTCTTTTGGCCACCTAAGTCTGAGATGCTTAAGAATCCTGTAAGTGGAGATGTCAACTGGGCAGGTGAGTTTACGAATCTAGAGACCTGGGGGGGAAATCAAGCTATTGGGAATCTTCAGTATATAGATGGTATTGAAAGCAAAGAGTGCAGATGGACTCATTAGGGAGAAACAAAGGGAAAGGGGTGAGAGCCAGAGCTGAGTCTTAGAATATTCCAGCATCTAGAGGTCAAACATAGGTAGAAGATACTGAGAAGGATCAGCTAGTGAGGTGGCAGAAAAAAAACACAAGAAAGAAATGGAATGAAAGTTCAGAAAAATGTTTCCAAAAGGAAGGAGTGGTCAACCTTGCCAAATGTTACTAAAAGATACAGTAAAAAGAGGATAGCAATGAACCATGGCACTTCACATGACAGCAGTCCTTGTTGATCGTAGTAACAGCAGTTTCAGTGGCACAGGGGCTGAGAGGATTCAGGAGAGAAGGAAAAGTAGAAAAGTGGAGCAGACATGATGGTGTCTTTTGGGAAGAAGGAGAGAAATGACTTGGTCTAGATAGGCATGAAGAGCAAAGAAAAGTCAAGGACATTTCAATGTGCCCTTGGGAAGAATATAGTAGAGAGGGAGAAATTGATAATGCTGAACAGAAAGGTGATCTTTGTAAAAATTCTCTTTTTGTTACTAGTTCATGTATATAGGCGTTTATTTCTACTGTTTATTTCACCTAGGGATTCTTTAGCTCAGTCTTTATTCCTCTAATACTATGATAGAACCAGAGATATATTAAAACATTACTCATTTTAATAAAAAGAATATATAATCCTCCATTTGTGAGAAAATGCCCCAAAGGACTGTTATTTGGATATATAAAATCCTTAGACATGCAAATCTCACAGCCATAAAATTATTCATTCCCAATGTTCTCCATGCACACCAGTTAACATGGTCACTCATGTTTATGACCTCAGCTCCTGGCAGCTGAATTACAATTCCCCCAAGGCCACATTGCTTCAGGCTAC